TTGTTTGTTTAATTTAGAAGCCTGAGTGGAAACCAAGGTCTTCCACTATGTAAAAAGGCTGTGATAAAGAGGACTGTAAGCATTTTCTCTCTATGTCCACTGAGAACAGGAGAAATAGTTATTGGCTACATTTGGAGCAGAGAAGATTTAGGCTAGATATAAGGAAAACCTTTCTAAATATAAAGATAGCAAAGCCCTGGAACAAGGTAACCAGGACAGTTGTGGGATCTTCTTCACAGGATTTTTTTAAGAACAAATTAAATAATCAACTGTTGGTGATGGTCTGGTATATGTGATCCCACTTTATTTCTTTCATAGAGAAGTAAAGCTGAAAGGGACCTCAAGAGATCATCTAGTCCAACTGGGGAATCTTAATGCAAAGGGTCCAACTAGATCAGAGCTCATCTTGAACCAGATCCAAATCATAGGGTCCTCCTGGACTGGATCTTAGAGGTAAGTAGTTGCGGCTGGTCTGGCAAGGAGCCAGGAACAGTAGCAGGGCATGAGAATGGTTGCAGCACTGGGAGTCCAGAGGCGGCAGTGTGGATACAAGGGATGTGGTGGTGGGGCCAAGTACTGGTGGGCCGGCAACCAGGGGGTGAGCAGAGCTGTATCTGCTCAGCCCTTGCTCCTGCACCGATGGCCACATCCCCAGAATCCACAGCAGGCCTCCACAGTTTCCAGTAGCCCACTGGTAAGCATACAGGCTAGATGGAATAAATAATTCTGCAGGCCAAATCTGGCCCATGGGACACATTTTTTACACCCGTAGACTAGCTGATCTTTTGAGGACCCTTCCAGTTCTACAGTGTATCACTGACTTCAGTGAAACTACTTATGCAAGGCAGGGGGCATGGGTTTACTAGAGTTTGCAAGATAAGGCCCAAAGGAGGGAAGGACAGATCTCTTCACTTCCCGGCCATCCTGCAGAAACATTCCTCTCTTATTTTACTCCAAAATGCCTACACATCAAAATGACTTTTTTTTCCTGACTCTCCACCCAGATGTAATCACAAACAACCAGGGTTGCATCCTGTGTAGACTGTAGGCTTAAGTCCTCAAGGCCAACTTGAAAAAATGCAACATGGACATCAACTTGTGGAAGACTATCTCCCAGGACTACCCCAAATGGAGGAAGAGTCTGCTGGAAAAATCTCAGTCCTCTGAAACCTCATGACAACAGGAGATGAAAAAGTGGGAGCGGCAGAAACAGCATGTCTCAGACCAAATCAAGAATCCAGAGCCACCCACTCTACATGCAACAATGTGCCTGAGTTGCAGCAGAGCCTGTCGATCCTGGATTGGCCTCATAAGCCATCTTCAGACCCACGGATCAGCCAGTCATGGAAGACAATCATCCTCAAATGCGATGGATTGCCAAAGAAGAAGGCTTAAGTGTGTGATGCATTACTGAGCATCTTGAAAATCTCTTGCAGCCCATTATGCCTGTGCTCTTACTGGCAAGTTTGGGTGTTGTGTACTTTGTGGGGTAGGTGAAATGTTTGGCTTAATCTGATAAAGAAAGGCGAAAAGAATTATAGTCTTATTTTCTATTGCATTAATAATAGGCAGTAATCGGGACACTGTCCTTGACATCTTCATGCATATTAATTAACTGAGCTTAATGACATTCCATGAGACAAGCAGTACTGTAATGCCCCTTTTTTGGATAAACCCAAATGCCAGATCCAGACCACCCTGATTGCTGGAGAAGCTGCCATCAGGCCTATTTCCACTCATTTTACAGATAGGGAGACTGAGGCACAGTGAAGCTAAGGAACTTGCCCAAACTTTAACACAGAATAGAACCTAGATCTCTGATATCTGGTCCCCTGATCTAATCACTAAATGCTACTTGAAGAATAATGTGCAACAGGACTGGATCTTGTTTAATTGTTATACTGAATGACTCTTAACAGCGGAGTCCTGCTACAGAAGATAAATACTGTGCATATATGGCCCTTTTCTTCTGAAATCCTGAGAGTGCTTTGCAAAAGTGCATAAAAAATAGAACCACAGAGAGGTTTGGGTTTACATTTTCAAACATAGTTGCCTAAAATCAGGTATGTAAATAAGTAGCTGGATTTTTACAGGTGATGGATATATGTATTTCTTTTGAAAAAACAGGCCTAATTTTGCTCTTCACCTCTAAATCCATAGTCTTAACTTCAACCAAATATGAAATTTATGTTGACTTAACTGAAAACTTGCATGTTCATGGTAACAGAGGGGTAACTCCAGTCACATGTGAGTATTTGTGCTGACTGCTGTAGGTTTCTTCTAAAGATACCGATCTGTGTTCACAATCACTCCATGATGCATTTATGTCAAACATTGCCAGTTGTGAAGAGCATTGCCATTTACAACTCTCATAATAAGGAATGCTACAATCTTCTCCTGGGCGCCTGATACTTCTGTTGAACAGAAAACATAATCTGAAGTAAATGAGCAGCAAAAAAGAAACTTATTAGGAAATGGGGCACAAAGTTACACCACTCCACACCAGAAATGCTACTTGTGTGGCAAAGTAGATGGACCTTTGCCAAAGAGAAGCCATCTACTTCAGTTCTCTGTGTAGATCTCCAGCTGGGGAGGAGGAATATGTTTGACACTCAGTGAGGCTTTCTACAAGTTGTACCAACAAAAGGGTATCTCAGGAGTCTCTATAGATGTGCTGGTTGCTCAGGATGTGCACCTTTTCTGCCAAGCATTGCTTGATTGTAATGCCACAACAAACTCTTGATAAATAATGTTGCAACTGTTTGTATCACCATCATTTGGAATTTTTTTTACCCAAATAAAATGTGGTTGATAACGTGTGTGACGTAAGACAGTTTTGTCAAAAGATGGGTCCTCTCTTCATGACACATGAAAGGTTTGTTACTTCCTTAAGTCTGAGCTTCACTGATCCGGGAAACAAGATAAGCCATGTCAGTCTGGAGCTGTCTTCTGCATACAAAACTAACACAAAGATCTTTCCAGGTGCTTAATTCCTCATTCTTGGTGCACTCAACTCCATTTGAGGTAAATGGGAGTTTGCTGTGAGGGAATATGAGACCAAATCTCTCTTGATAATTTAAAAGGTGAATTCTTTTAGCAGATAACACTATTTGTCCTAATTATGCACAAATGAGCAGAATAATTTTCCCTGTCGTTTATTTGCACTCTTCCGCAACCTGCTGTTAATGTTCTCCTGCTGTCTGCAGAAGATTGCTCTTCTCCAAGGGTAGTTCCTCAACTGCTGTTTCTAACTGTTCTCTGCCTACATTTGCCCTTTGCAGAGATCCCATGTGTATATTTGCCAGTGAAGTTCCCTGCATTCCTGGAGCACTATCAAGCAAATCTGAATCTCAGAAATGAAACAATGATGTGACAGTATAACCATCTCAGTAAATGTTGTTGGACTAAAAAACCTTGGACTGATTAAAAACCCTCCATGCATGGCAATTCCCACTAACCTAAAAGGGATAGTTATGTGGTATACAGAGGGCTTGAAAAAGCAGGCCCTGTTTATACCAGTTTGCTTCCCTCAGTCCATTTTGAAATAAGTTACAAATCACCATTTGAAGTAGGTCATGGGGTAGAATGTGGCCCTGCAGTTGGAAGAAATAAAAGGCAGAAACCAGGTTTCAGGGGTGAGATGTCCTCACACATCTCCTGTGTTAAGCAGATATTCTGGTGTGTAGACTGAATAACGCTGAATTAGGATCCACAGCAGCAGCTGTGTTTGGGAGAAGGCATGGATTGAACTATATGTGGTGTCATTATTTCTTTTGTTCATAAAGTCAAACAAATGATGGGGCTTAGCTGTGACTGCCTGGGGCAGACTGTTAGGACAGATAGAAAAAGCACCTAGTCTTGAGGAATTGAAAAATGTCAATGAACTTCATCTTGGAAGCATTTAATTTTAAGTTGGTAGTGGCCTGGTTTTAAGAAGTGATGAATACTCACAACAGCAACCAAGTCCATGGGAGCTGCAGATGCTATACTTGTATTTACCAGAAATCAGGCCAAAGTTGTTGTGTTAGTATTAAGGTACTCCAGTTATGGACCAAGA